TATATATATACAATATATAAATATACTAAATTAGTTTATATGTATAATATATATATATATATAATATATATATACATACATACTTCTATATATATATATATATATATATATATATATGTGTGTATGCGTGTGCGTGTGCGTGTGAGTATATGTTTTTATTCCACACAAATATCTATAGGCTTTGCTGCCATAGCCCATACCTAAAATCTCATAATCCGTTCCTGTTTTACGTTTCAGGATCGATTGCTCCGAGAAATGGTAGTGGTCAGTCATCCCGATGCAAATATGACAAATGCAATGAAAGATCTGTACGAGTCCCATGGAATGGGGTGAGTTGTCTGAGTGTACGAACATTTTTGTCGCGGGTATATATCAAGAGTGAAGTATTGGTTTTATATACTAAACGCATGCGGTGCGGAAGTTTGCACGACATGTAGTTGGCTTTTCGAATTAGTTTGACTGAAAAGATCAGTGATGGTCCTACAATTAACTCGTATGACGTGGGCGGAATTATTGCTTAGCGTAGTGAGTAGTGAATGGCTTGTTGCAGAGAAGTGGCATCGAAATGCTTGATCGTCTCCCAAACCTACCACCTGGACTAGGGTAGGCTAATCTATCGTGTTCAAATCCATCGTGTTGTTAAATATGCCAATTGGAGCTGACGCAGGAGACAAGAAGTGACCCCGAAATGTATTGGTTTCTTCGAGTGCGCATAGTTTCGATGCATATTCCGAGTAGGCATGGGTCAGTGAGTTGTCTGCGCACGCGAGTCTGCTTCACTGCTGTTCATGGCTCGGCGAGCCTGGATGAAGGATTGCTATGTGGTTTGGGATTAAATCTTTCAATCATAGCTCAGCTTTTCACATACACCATATATGCTTATTGAATGCCTTGTGGCATCGAATTGGTGGTACGGTTCGTGTTCAAGCGTATCTTGTAGTGGGTGTTACACTGGTGTCACGCAAAGTCTGCGTAGCCAAGAACATTCATAGTTTACAATAATCTATGTTACCCAGTCTCATAAGGTCTGAATGGTAAGGCCCAAATGTCTTTACGAAAATTGTCACGCCAGGGTCGATATCAAGGCATGGTACTACTGATACACCCTGGGCGCTGTACTTAACTCCTGTTTGTTCTTTTGTAACTGTGTTGATATTTGTCTTCATCGTACCAGACAACATTGACACCAACTACTAAATATTCCTAAGCTCCTAAATCTTTATCTCGGACCCCGGAATCTTTAAACCTGAATCTCAAAACGCGAACCCTAAACCCTAAACGCTTATCCCACAGGCTTGTCGCCAATCAGAATGGTGCAAACTATTGCGACCCAATCAATAGTCTTGGAATAACAAAGGACTGGGTGCACGGCTCAGGCCGGATAGGCACACTCACTCACCTTGCACAAACATCTGGCATGGCACGATATGGGGAGCATGTCCGTGAGGCGTTGGACGAGGTGAGCATTCGGGGGTACAATGAGTACGATCGCGGTGGCATAGGGTCGGATGACTGGGAAGAGGTTAAGGACTATCTGGAGGGCTTCGGAGATGTGTACAGGTAGGGGCCATCTTTCACGGGAGATTGTAAGCGAAGCGTGGTGTGGTGTTTTCTCAGGCGGACGTTGAGTACAGTTTGTCTATGCGGGATGTCTAACGTCTTCGGGAACTAAGTTGCAGCATCAGATGAGCCTTTGAATTTACTTGCACACGTGTAAGAACGAACAGTGTGACCGCTCAGATGTAAGGAATGGGTTACTGACAACACTCTGAGACGGAACAGTAGGACTGCAAGACTAATCGAAGTCAGCGTGTGTAATGTAATCTGTGCATCTATGCAGTCGTATGGGTTTGCAATGGGTGGGTAAACACTTGGCCCGTACGTCTGGAAGTGCGTTGCAAAAATTTATTTATAGATTGTGTAAAGACAGGCAGCGGCAGGCACCTAGGTGCGCGGTGTATGTGGCCACTGGATCGGCAGAAGACGATTTCTCGGTGAACCAAAATATTTATTTAGATACGTGGTTGGTCCTGGGGCAGTAAGAGAAAGAGCACGCTTGAGGTCTAGAAAGATGTGAGCGAATATAGGGCAGAAATGGGCCATTTGTGAATGTGTGGGATTTTAGGACATTGTTCTGAGTAAAGTAACACGGGCAAGGTCAAAACGTAGCTTGAAGGGTACTGCCGTGATTTGTACTTTAACTGAAGCCGGATCAGTCGAGTTGAAATCTGCTATCGAATGCGAGATGACGGTATAGTAACAGTCGATAGGAGTAGATACTGGATAGATATATAGATAGACAGACATATGCGCCTGTTCTGCGTACTACCGCTAGTCAAGTCGATGGACCAGTAATTGCAGAGGTACGATAGCAATCAGCAATGCATATTCATCCATGTCTCTGCGGGAAATGGGGAAAACCACATTCCTACTACCTGTACTTCGCCGAAGATAATAAACTATTTCGGTTTAATTCAATGGTCGATCAATTCACGTGTGATGAAGACTGAGTGCATCTTAGTACGCGCCGTCGACAACTTCGACACAATTTTTTCTTCTCTTTTTGCGCCTGGAATAGTACTACATCTGTCGATGATAGTGTACCGTCCTTCCTGCCAGGATACTTCAGGAACAGAGTTTTTAATATGGTTGAAATGGGGGTTGTAATATGCACACTTTTAGATAGAATAACCATGAACGATAATACTTTCAACATGTCAATGCACTTGAAAAGATTAATTACTATAAACGACAATTCTCCAATATGCTCATTTTTGGATAGATTGACCATAAAAATGATAATTCTTGAATGCGAACAAATTTATATATATATACTATAAATGGTAATTATTCTCTATGTACCCTTGAATAGGTTTTAGTGGCATTTAAGACCAGCTAGAGCTCTTGACAGTTCATAGACTAATACGGGCAGTGTATACTCAAATTAATGGTATCATGTCTGACACACTCCTACGTGCGCGTGCACACCTCTTTGCATACCAAACTGCAGAGGCCTTTCAAATGACAGCCACTTGATCAATTGGAAGATTAGTGAGCGCCACAGATAGTCCGCTGGGCTAAGGAAAACTGTGACCAAACCGACTAGAAGAACAGCTCGGTGTATTTAGTTCCTCAATAGCCTTTTCCACGGTGTTCTAATAAAAAAATGCTGGGTTCAAACTAGCTGTACGGTTGCGCCACGAGAACACAGCATCACGATACATCACAGCACCGAATAACTCGCATACAGAACAAGACTCCAGATAGGCCAATACAGGAGTGTGCGTATCCTTTAATTTTCATGTGTTCCTCATGTGTGCAGGGTTGGTAGGCCCATCGCACGCGGCTACGTGTTAGTGTACACCTCCAAGACATCATCATGCTCTTCCAGGAGCTCGACCAGATCATTCAGCTGAAGTTGATCTTCGGCATCCTGTGGTGAGTGGTGAGCGAAGTCGCATGTTTATACCCAAAAGTTTGGTTACATGTATATGCATAGCTATAGGCGTAAATCCTAGTACATATGAGACACAAAAGTGTCGAGTTCTCGACTCTTCCCATTTGAAACACATGCCACGGAGATATGTTGGCGTGGTAGCCACAGCGCCTGTGCCTTCATCGCAGTTGCGGATGTGTGATATGCTTGTTTGTTTGGGGATATACGGTATTTTGGTGTTGAAGATAGTACACATTTTTATAGACCTATGAATTTCTTCAACGTACAAGAGCGCGAATTGTTGGGCGCAATGATCATCTAGAAACGTAGCACCCAACGATGTCTGATCAAATGAGATAGACTGACTATGCAATCGATACGTTTAGTTCACTACAGATCATCCCGGAGAGTGCATAGGAGCGTAATTGATGGATACAGCACCAGAGGTATATCAGAACCACTAACCAGAAATAGCCAACAAAACTCAATTGTCGCGTTCCCGGTCATGAGGTCACGTCAACAGCATTCAGATATATAGTACCAATACATCGTATTTAGATGTGTGCTAATTTGGCTCTAATATAGATATCAATTAGAAGTATCCAGGCATAGATCGACGTGGACAGTCTCTGGCCCAAGTTCGGCATATGAGTGTACGCTACATTTAGGTTCAACACCGGTTAAAATTATCGATCTCTACATTCACATATCAATTCGGTGTCTGAATTGGGTTTATACTTTTTCTCAAACCATTTCCGTAACTATAGTGGGTTGATACAATTTTGTTACCAAAGTGGGTTGATACGTTTTACTTTTCGATTCCGTAACTGAAAGGCATTGATACGTTTTGACCTAAAAATTCCGTATTTAAAATGCATTAATACATTTTTACTTACCAGTTCCGTAAGCGAAGTGGGTTGATACGTGAGTCGGCAATCTGTCACAGACATTCCCGATGCCTCTAGCGCTGACTTCACTCTGTAGAGTTCTTCGGGTTGGCAAATCACCTACTAGTACAAACGCACAAATATAAAGGGATTCAATGTAAGATGTATGAGAACACTCCAACTACAGTGAGGCCGTACAAAGGAAGGAGTGCCATGTGGTATACAGCCTCAGATGGGTACTAACTCAGTGACTGTCCTACCCTGTCTTCACACGCGCTATGATCACAGTGCGGCTCATCAGCGCAGTCAACCAGCTAGTTTGCCATGGCAACATCGAACGACGTGCAATGCGCCGGTAGCACGCCAAGTCGGGACTAAACCCGTGCTCTCGAGCATTTTGGTAGCTACGCCCGCCACGTGCAATTATCGCTTGCTGTTAGGCACACAATTGAAGTGCGCGTGAAAGCAAAAGGGTACGTAATTGCATGTTGAAGATACGTTTCCACTTCGCACTACCCATCGCGGTGTGTTGGGATAATTATTCAGTTGGACTACTACCTTGATACTATTTTGACTATATGGGCTCACTCTTTATGTGTAAATGCATGTAATAGTGGATTCTAACTATGAAATCATCCTTAACAACCAACCTTATCATACTTTGCGGATAGACGTTTTTAGACATAGACAAAAAGCTAGCATACATACAAACTCGCTTTAAGCACACAGACGTGATGAGTTTATGTATACTTAATAGGCTCAAGCTGGGTATTTCCCATAGCATAGCACTCACATACACACTTATCCCACACTCTATACACCCATACCATTGCACTCTAACCACGCACACCTCGGCAGCGATTACACAAACCATAGCACTGAATGGCCCCATAACACACATTCTCAACACACACATCATAGAATTCTAAACACTTACACAATAGCACTGCATGCGTACATATCATGTGCTGATAACATACATATCATATCATTGGCTAATCAAATACAAAACGTCCCCACACACACCCCCCAACACTGCATATCCCCATACCATAACACATCATGCAACATACCATAGCACTCTCCTCGCCCTCGTCGCATTCCTCGACATCATCCGCACCCGCATTAATGGCCGCCTCAAGTGCATTGTCAGCTGATTGGTCCACGATCATGAACCCGCGCTTTTCGAACATGAAGGCCAACGAATTGGGAGTGGCTATTTGGGCTCTGAGGATTAGATAGCACAGCGTGGTGTGAGTTACTGCAACCGATTGTAGCGATAGAGAGTAGTGTCTGATATAGTCGCCGTATGTAGTGTCTCCAGTCTGTCACGGCATAGAACGACGGCAGTAACGTCACGGGTTGTACGCATTGGGTATTCTAGCGTACATATACCGTATACGTGGCTACATAAACACTATCGATATCAGATATGCGCATGCAAACGTACGTCGCAGACATTGAGAGATGAGGTGCCTCCGTGAGCAGGGCTCAGCGATTGATCCCCAGCCGATGCCCCACAACTGCATTGCCGATGATTTCTCATGGCCCACCAGTCTCTGAATGCGAGCGTGCGGATAGAGTCGAGGACTAGGATGATACAGCGCAATATGGTAATCCCACCCAGCCCCTAACAAATGAGGTCTCATTGGCGAGAAATGGGCCGGACATACCCATTTTTGGTGAGGATCTTTTTGATCTCGATATTCGTGCGTCCTTTGCTGTCTGTCAAACAATCTGAGATGTAAAATATGCGTGCGCAAAATTAGGGGGATAGCTTAACACAAACGACGTACTGAATCGTATATATCCATTTCAAATTTCCAATACATATTGTGGAGTCTGTAAACACGATCTTGGTATTTATAACTAGAGCCACTTTCTTATCCACAGTACACCCCACACCAACGCTTTCCGCAACTGAGGATATAGACTCTGCACTGCAGTCTCGTTGTCAGTCCAGTGCAAGTACGTTGCACCCACAGGGCGTGTTCGTCGAAAGCCCGGCACTGTGCAAAGAACGACCAAACAAACTCGCATGCGCAGCAATTTAAAGTGATTCGCAGTTCGTAGTAGGTAAGCTCGCATCGCAGGTGTTGGCGGCCTTGGTACCTGCATGCCCCATATGATCAATCTCGCAGTTTCAAGACACTTCGACGGCACAGGCGGCTATACAGAATAGTGCACTGGGTCATGCGCGGCATGTACGCGCGCTGACACGACACGGCAAAGCCACAGTTACCTACGCTACAAGTCAGTGAATGCTGATGTGCATATCCGCATGTGACACACATAGCAACAGTTGCCAAGCTATATCTCAGAGACGCCCATGGGTTTTAATATACGCAGTGCCCCACGCCGTAGTCCCGTAGGTTGCACACCTGTGAATGCTCACGTGTATATACCTACGTATAGTAAAGCTCCCCCAGGACCTCTTGCTTCATATATGACGGGATCAGTTCTTCCCGTAGTTGCCTGCAAAGAGAAGTGCGTACCAAGCCCTCAGACTGCAGTGTGTACACAGGCGTTATCATGCGGCCCATGATCTTAAGGTCAGATTGTGGAATATGGGTTTAGGGATCGATCCGTGTGATAGTGAGAGGTGCATCATCCCAACCAAGCACACAATTGCACTCTTCGAAGTGAAGTTTTTGCGTATGAAATACGCCTGGTTCTATACATGAACACGAAAATTGAGTGGCGTAGCCGGCAAACAGCAGGACTTGTGCATTTTAACGGAGTCGCCTAGGAAGCCAAAACGCAAACGAATTGAGCAATTAAAACCTTACGTGTGCGTGGTCGTGTGTGCGTATGTGTGCATGTGCTTGTGTTACTGTCGATACAGAAAGAATACAGAAAGATACTAAACACGCTCGTACCGCATCTGACAGGATAACATAACATGCGAGTAGTGTACAGCTAGGTCTGGCGCACGTTGACTCATTATGTGCTGTGGTTTACAGGGCAGCCACCTACAGTAAGAAAAAGGGATGCCAACCCACAACCATTCAAACTCAGCGCGCAATGATTACCGAAGTCGGAACTTGTGGCTCTTTAGGGGAGAGGTGCTAGTGATACATATAGATATACATATATCTATATCTAAATCTATATCTATAGCTAAATATATCTCTCTCTCTTTCTATATATATATATATATATATATAAATATTGATATACCTGTGGCACTATATAGAGATACATATATATCTATAGCACTAATTAGTGATTAATATATACATGTAATAAATATATATATAAATATAGAATATATATGAATATATATATATATATATATATATATATATATATATATATATATATATATATATATATATATATA